CAGCACCCAACGTAGGGACACCAGGGGACGGCCCCAGTGATCGTGAGAGCAGTGAAAGAGACTAGAACAGCCTCTGGAGCTAAACCCTGCCCAACGAATAAACCAGAAGGGCAAAGTTCAGATGCACAGCTGTTCAAGCAACCACCGAGTCACCTGGGACCCCCTCAGCAGGAGCCAACGGCGGGACTGCAGCCAAAGCCAGGGGGAAAAGAAAGCTACGCCTTTCGAGAATCCCAAACAAGGCCCTACCAAGTCTGAACCTGGGACGTAACCAACTGGAGCTTCCTCCAGTTTACCAGGAACCCAAACTCGGCAAGCTGGGAAAGAGCCAGATCCCTGGCTAGCAAACAAGCAGGCTGGATGGAAGCCCAAAATAATCGGTTGTCGAGGAAGGCCAAAACCCAAAGACCTAGCAGACGAAGATGAGTCACCACGACCCGAATCAAGCACGTAAAAAGAAGAGGTGCCAAATACAGCCCAAAAATAAGACAATGAAAGTGATAAGTTAGTCACCCCATCACAAAACCCAACCAGCTCATGAACCCTGGATGAATAGGGACATGCCAATAAATGTCCTAGAGGTCCAGGGAAACACCCAAGAACAAGCCAGACCTGGGACAATGTGGTCACCCGAAGAGAGGGGCAAGGAATCAACCGGTTCAGAAGAGACACATCTAGAAAGGACCGAAAATCCGGATGCCCGAAGCGACCAACACCCCAAGTCCGGACCTAACCAAAACGAGGCAGCCCTGGGGCATCCGAGCAGGCAACCAACCCAGCATGTTGCAACAACCTAAACCTACCATACAATGTGACAGCCGCTTGACCCCGAAGATCTCCCGAAGAAGAATGGATAAACTGGAGAACGAGCGGGAAACAAGACCCACACAACTCCGGATTGAAGATGTCGTCGACCCAACAAGCAGCATGACGGAGGCAAAACAAGTGATCGTCACCCTGAGACAAGGTGCAACGAGCAACCTTCAAACTCACACAAGGCGAGATTAAACTCTAAGGACACATCCAGAAATCAACCAAGCCCCGACAGGGGTTTCCAACCAAGCCCGCAGGGGAATGTGTCCCTACGGGAAGCCCAAGCATGGGTGCTGCCAAAGCTGGTTGAACCCTGTCTATACTGGGCAAACTGGCCCCTGTGAAGGGAGCAGCCTCAGGAGGGGGGGGGCGAGCGGAGGACCACCGAACAGAATCTAGATGGACCTAATGGGAAACCGGGCAGCTTTCCACCAGACAGGAAAAACTAAACCAAAAGAAAAGAACTCCAAAAGTGCTCCACCACAACAGGAGACCAGAGAGGGCAAGGCAGAAGCCAAGCGACTACCCCTATGGGAGTGAGACCCGAAGGCTCCAGGGAAGATAACCATGAAACCCAAAGGAAGTATTTACAGGGTGCCTGGGGAAGAAGGCCCTAAGTGCATGCAGCCTGAGTACTTGGATCTCCTGGCCAACACACCAACACACAGCAGGTATCACTGCTAAGGTCAAAACCTTTACAGGCAATCATGTCCAGAGTAGACATCTGCCCCAGTTGGCTTCAGTCGACAAACTGGTGGGCAGACGGCTGGCTCGGTGGGGCAGTACCTCTCCCTCCCATTGAGGGGGAGCACAAACGAGCAGCGCATCAGGTTCATGATGATTTGCTAGTTTCCTTGGTTTTCTTAGGGGAAGTTTTTAGCCTCTGTTTCGGTCTCCGGTTGCAATTTTGTACAGTTGGGGTCTGTTTTGGGGCACCTACCTTTCTGGGTGCCTAACCCCAATCAATGGCAGACATGAAATCCTCCAAAAACAGTGGGGTTTCCATAGGCCATTGCTCCCTTTGCCTCTCTGAGGGAACCAGGTTCTGGCTCGTGGTTCCCGGTAGACATGACAACTCCATACGACTGAAGCCCCAAACTAATATAGCTAATATCAGTCCTATAGCTCCAGAGAGCCGACGATGCTCCACTCAGAAATGGTCAATAAACTCTAAAGCACAAAAGTGGAGCCATTTTTCACTAATCCACATATATTAATTTTTATTCACTGCTCTACAGTATTTTCTTTTAATAGCAGTGTGATTTACATAAACCAGTGAGTGGTGATTTAACCAATGAGACTCATCGTTACAAAGCGCCTATTCATTCGTAATCTAACCCAATAATACAACAACAAATGCAGTGATGCCATTCTGCACTATGCAAGAAATTGGGAGGGGTAAAAGAATACTGTTCCTTGACTGCACATTTGTGTTATCTCAGCTATATTTCAAATTCACTACACATTTAAGTCTCTTGGGACACCACTCATGGTCATCAACCTATTCTACAATATTTAGGCATTTGAATTATCCTGGAGCCCCTCTTATGCAGGTGTGTCCTCCTCTAGTCTCCTAGGTATGTGTGCATGATACACTATTAGTGTATCAAACACACTTGCTACTTCACCAATGTTACAAACTTTAGTTATAAGCGTGCAAATTATGGATATAATGTCTGAGAGGCTGATTGGCAAAAGGAGTAGAGTTGTGATACCTGTCAATGAAATATTGTTAAGTGTTGAGTATTTTTTTCCAATTTTTTTTTTCGTAATCTAACATAGATAAGTAATCGTAGTTACGTAGTAAAAAATTAGTAACGTAGATTAGTAGTAAGTAATCTAACGTTTTTTTGTAAACAAACCAATCCTATGTTTTTTTTCATATTCATATTTCTTGTTAAGTTGATGAATTTATGTTATGTGTGTATTATTTATTTAGATTCCCAATTTTTATTGCAAAGTGCATCGATTGCTGTTTAACTATGTAGTTTGAATGTTAATTTCTTGAAATCCAATAGTGCTTTCTTTATGTTTGCTATGAGGAAAGTGGCAAAGTGATCAATTGTTCTGTCAGTGATTATGGCAGAATCACTTCTGGGGGATGTTATGTTAGTTCATATATGTTCTAAGGTTGAAGCAGATGTTGGAGTGATTCGAGTGGACTTGGTGATTGTAGGGATTAGCATACAAACATGTGATTTAAATTTTAAGCCAATGCAAAGAGGCATTCTCAGATACTACAGTACAGTGGTACCTCGAGTAACAAATTTAATCTGTTACAATGCCATCGTCATCATGTGAAATGGACGTCATACAAAACGAATGTCCCCATTGACATTAATAGTAATCAAATTCATCCGTTCTACCACCAAAAAACATCAATATGATATTCAATGTTTTACATATTGGAGCAGCCTACCGAACATACACTGCACAAACCTTTATGACATTTTTCTTTCTTCAAATTTTTTCAATATTTATTTTTCATTTGTCTTATAGCAAAAGGTTCGTTCGGTGGTCGGCAGGTAAGCTGCTCCATTCCCAATTTTTATTGCGAAGTGCATCGATTGCTGTTTAACTATGTAGTTTGAATGTTAATTTCTTGATATCCAATAGTGCTTTGTTTATGTTTGCCATGAGGAAAGTAGCAAAGTGATCAATTGTTCTGTCAGTGATTATGGCAGATTATGAATTAGGTTACATAAAAAAATGGAAATAAAAAAAATGAAGAATTTTGAAAACCAGAACAAATGTCAAAAAGGTTCATTCGGTTATCTACAGGTAGGCTGCTCCATGTTTCTTAAATAAAAAAAACGAATAAAGTTGAAACAATTTGGAAAATGGACAAATGCCATAAAGGTTCGTTCAGTGTTTGACAGGTAGGCTGCTCCATTATAACAATCTTCCTTTGTTTCAAATGTGTTCCATATGTTTTGTATTTTTCATTTACGTCTCAATAATGGAGCAGCCTACCCGACAAACACTGAACGAACCTTTATGGCATTTGTCCATTTTTCAAATTGTTTCAACTGTTTTTTTTTATTTTTCGTGTTTTTTATATTTAAGAAACATGGAGCAGCCTACCTGCCAACCACTGAACGAACCTTTTGCTATAAGACAAATGAAAAATAAATATTGAACAAATTTGAAGAAAGAAAAATGTCATAAAGGTTTGTGCAGTGTATGTACAGTAGGCTGCTCCATTATTGAGACATAAATGATAAATACAAAACAAATGGAACACATTTGAAACAAAGAAAGATTGATATAATGGAGCAGCCTACCTGTCGAACAGCCTACCTGCCGAACACCGAACGAACCTTTTTGACATTTGTTGTATTTCAGAATTTTCATTTCTTTTTTCTACAAAAACGTCAATACTTTGCAACATCTCAGCAGTCACCCCTTTATATCCCAGCATCATTAGCATCTTTAAACAATAACAACATAATTTATTTGCATCGTCGGAGGCGTTCAAGAAGGTGCAAGAAGCAGCGCGACGCCACCATGTGGTGTTGACGTTATTCAAACGAGCGTTCACCATACGGGACGATTTGTTGCCGATCGGGCCGGTCGTTACCCAAAATGTTCGCCTTTTGGGGCGATCGTTATGCAAGGTACCACTGTATATCACTTGGCAACAAAGCAGTAGGAAAGGTAGGGACAGGAGAGTTAATATTAATGCAACATTATAAAGTGTTGTGTCCCACTACCACATATACCTTTTAAGCAGACTATGATAATACACTAATAGTCTAATAGTGCAATAAGTAATGGAATATACATGACTTTCATAGAAATGAGCCAGAACCCCAAATCAGATGTGTACATCAGGAAATACATCATTACTTATATCTAACAACTTTGTACAAACATGTTCTATGCAGTGTAGCCAATATGAAGGAGGGAACCCACAGAGAACTAAGCATCAAGAGACAGAGCTGTACAGTACTGTATGTGCATAGTCAAAGAGCATACATACTGTATTATACTTATCTCTCTACCTTAAACAAGAAATTCATGCACAAAGCTATAAATAGAACACCAACATAAGCAAGCAATATCATATTTAATGCTAAATGCTATCAGGTATTACTTTAATTACATGTATCAGCAAAGTTAAGGAAATAACTATTACCAGTGGTGAAAATAGTCTTCACATAAAAAAATTACAGTTAAAATCTTACCTACAAAATTACTAGTCTGGGATATCAATGGCCGAAATCGCTCCATTATTTTTCTTTGTGACCTTCAACCCTCGGCGTGCACAAGTCTAAAAATATTTGAACAAATTAGATCCATCTTTTCAAATGAGCTTAAAATATGGAAAATAATGAAAAATACTCCATATACAGTATGTGTACTATATTTAATTGAATATACAAAATTTTATATTATTCAAATTCTGATAGCGATATTAGTCTTTAACCACTGTGATGTGCCGAGTTTATTGTGACATTCCCCCTGTGGGCATAAAATCAAGTGTTCACAAATTTTTTTTTTTAGCTTTGTAAAATGATAAATTCCCTTCGCTGAACACTTATATGTAAAAAAACTAAAAAATTCCACCTACTTTGGGTGTGGGGATGTGGAGAAAGGGGCGTCACGGGCTGGTTGCCTGTGCGTGAAGCTCTTAGATGCGATCGTGCGCACAATTCAAGCACTGCGAGTTGCCACAAATGTAAATATCCACTCGATTTAACAGCTTATATGGGGCTGCACCGAGGTCGTTAAATGCGGGGCTCCAGTATTTCCGAAGTTAAATGTCGGTAATATTTCAAGTAACATTCAGGTAAGATCAGGGTTACCCGAAACGCTATCATATGAGTGGCTTTAGGTATTGCATATACTAGCTCTATCTATAAATCAAACATTATGTTTGTAAATCAACTATGTATTTGGGGGGCCTCGTAGCCTAGTGGATAGCGCGCAGGACTCATAATTCTGTGGCACGGGTTCGATTCCCGCACGAGGCAGAAACAAATGGGCAAAGTTTCTTTCACCCTGAATGCCCCTGTTACCTAGCAGTAAATAGGTACCTGGGAGTTAGTCAGCTGTCACGAGCTGCTTCCTGGGGGTGGAGGCCTGGTCTAGGACCGGGCCGCGGGGACACTAAAGCCCGAAATCATCTCAAGATAACCTCAAGAAGATGTATGTACTTTCCTGAATAATTTTTTTTATTTAATTTAATTTCATTTTGATTTAACCTCTCAACTGTTTGGCTTCCAAATATGACCCCCCCCCCCCCCCCAGTGCGCAGGAAATAAATCCTCTGGAAAAAATTCTTTTTTGTTTTGAAAGTGCCAAAAACCCTACCCTGAGTATGGGTATAGTAACAGAAGGTCGAAATTGTACATACTTTGGCTGCTATGGGGTCTGTAAGTTCGTGCGTGACGTCATCATTCCCTTGTTGCTTGCGGCGTACATCCCCAGGGCCGGTAGGGCGCCCGGGGCAGGATGAGCGAGTTGCCAGGAATATATTTTTGTTCATTTTTTGCGCACAGTTCCAAATACATCTTATTTGTTTTTCATGCCAAAATTTATGTATACAGTGGCACCTCGACATACGATTGCCCCTACTTACGATAATTTCAAGTTACGATGTAAATTTCATAAAAAAATGCGACTCGACATCCGATGGTGTCGTCGACTTCCGATATTTGTTGGTACATGTTCGGGTCGACCGAGCGCGTGGTTCCTGGTCACGCGGGCGACTTGCCTCAGTTTACCACAGCTGCCCGCTTAGTGACGATCGCGCCTATAAGAAATTCTGCTTCTGTGGTGATTTTTTGCATTTTGAACATTAAAGTAATTATTATATATCACGCCATGAGTCCCAGGAAAGTCAGTGGTAAGGCTCAACATACGAAAACCCATGTAAGGATGACCATAGAGCAGAAACAAGAGTACAGAATGTCTCTTCCTCAACAATTAAGAAAATGTGTGCAGCATGGGAAGAATTACAAACCTTTGCTGAAACGACTCACCCAAATCAAGCTACAGTAGGTCATTGTCTTAACCTATTCAATGACACTGTGATGCATCATTACAGACAAATGTTAAAAAGAAGGGAAAAACAAATGTCTCTTGACAAATTTGTAGTGAGACAAACAAGCACTGAACCACAACCAGGTCCTAGTGGTGTTCAGGCAAAATGTAGGAGAGAGAGTACCCCAGAGAAAACATCACTGCCTGATGTGATAATGGAAGGGGACTCCCCTTCCAAACAGGAACCACTCTCTTCCTCCCCCCCATCACCATCTCATCACAAGAGCCCTCCATCTTCTGTATTGTAGTTAGAAAAAAACATATTCAGCCATCATTTCTTAGAGCCCTCCATAAAGGAAAGAGAAACTTTGGTACTGTATTGTAGTTAGAAAAAACCAGCGTTGAATGTAATGAAACGCCATTTTCTGGGTGAGTCCCGGAGGCTCCCCGGAGCTATCCCAGGCTGATATGCTAATGTCAGACTTTGGCATCAGTCGTGTGTATGGAGTTCTTAGGCCTACCGGGGACCACGGCCAGAACCGGGCCCCCTCAGAGAGGCAAGGGGAGCAATGGCCTATAGAAGCCCCCGTGTAGTTGGAAGCATTCTATGTCTGCCATCGACCGGAACAGGCACCCAGAAAGGTAAGCACCCCAAAACAAACCCCTATTCTGGTTAAAATTGCTACCTAATACCGAACTAGTGGATAGAACTCCCCAACCGAAAACAAGCAAATTAGTGTGACGTCACACACTGCCGCGCCGCTGTCTGCGCAGCTCCCCCCTCCCCGGGAGGGGGAAGGGGGAGCCCCAGACCCCCCGCGCCGGCTACCCACACCTCAGTTCTTGAGGCTGGATGTCAAAAACGCGAAAAACCGCCGACCGGAGGGAGGGAGGGATGCCGGGGAGCCTCCGGGACTCACCCAGAAAATGGCGTTTCATTACATTCAACGCTGGTTTTCTGGGGGGAGCCCCGTCGGCTCCCCGGAGCTAACTACCCACAGACAGAAAAAGAGGGACTTACCCGGGAGGCGGTCGTCGCTCACCCCTCAACTCGAAGCCGAGACAACTGGCTGCAACCGCCGACCCAAAGCAACACAGGCCCGACGAGGGCCAGGGACATTCACAAGGTAACGAGCAGCCAGGACCCTGTTCGACCGCCAAAATCCCCGCGCCCGAATATCAGACCAAGACATATTCCCAAAGACGGCAGCAAGAGCCGCGAACTTACGAACGTCATGGGCACGGGGATAGACCGCAGGCTGGCTAGACCTAATAACCCTGCGGACGACCTGAGAGACCCGAACCCGCGAACAGGGAAGAAGGGAAACCGGATCAACCCACAGCGCGTCCCCGGACACAGAAGCTGTGGCGCGCAAATAACGGCGAAGCGCCGCAACCGGACACAAAACATGATGCACCCCCGGCCTGACCAACCAAGCATCAACCACCCATGGACCCCTCCGGAACGCAGCAGTCTCATTCTTCGCCAGAAAAGAAGGAGACGGCTGCAAACGAACAAAACTATCACCACGACCAAAAGAGCAGAAACCCCTGCGCCGGAGGAGAGCATGAAGCTCCCCTACCCGACCCCCAGAGGCCAAAGCCAACAAGAAAAGTGCCTTGGAAAAACAATCCTGGACCGAAGGGGCCACAACGAAACGAGGAGATGAAAGGAAAGCGAGCACTCTGTCCAAAGACCAGGACGGCTCAGGCGACGCATGAGCAGGCCGGAGGTGAAACAATGCACGAGACAGCTTGCGAAACGGCGCAGACGTAACATCGATACCGAAAGCAAGCTGAAGCGGCTCCGCCAGCGCCGCACGATACGAAGCGACAGTGTTAGGCATAAGATGACGGTCCTGAAACAACCACGAGAGGAAGGACAAGACCACCCGAACAGACAAGGAGCTAACACGACGAAGACGCAAAAAGAAACGGAAGGACCGCCAGGAAACTTCATACTGCCGCCGAGAAGAAGCCCTCAGGTGGGACACCAACAAGGAGGCCACCTGATCACCATAGAGATGATGATAGACTCGAGTCAAAAAAACCATACGCGAAGACTCGAGGAGAAGATCGAACCAGCTACGTGACGTACCGGCCCGATCTGCTGAAAGAGGCGGAGCCGCGGGAAAACCCTCGGGTTCGGACACCGAGCAACCAGCGCCTGAAACCAAGGCTGGGCCGGCCACCAAGGGGCCAGAAGGACAACTCTTCCCCGGTAAGTCTCGAAGCGAGTCAGGACCTGGAGCAACAGCCGAACCGGGGGAAAGAGGTACAGGAACCCCCACCTCGACCAGTCGAGCCAAAAGGCATCGACCCCGACGGCCTCGCAATCGGGGAAGGGCGCCGCATAAACGGGAAGACGCCGCGACCACGCCGACGCGAAGAGGTCCACCTCGGGGCGCCCGAACGTCAGGCAAAGCCAACGGAAGGACTCGTCGTCGACCGTCCACTCCGTGGAGAGGGGAACGAAGCGAGACAGGGCGTCGGCCAAGACGTTGGACACGCCCCGTACGTGAACCGCCAGGAGAGCCAAACCCCGAGAACTCAGCAGACGAGTCACCCGAAGCGACCAACCCCAAAGAGACAAGGACCGCATCGAACCCCCGCGGTTCAGGCAATGAACCACCGGAGAGCAGTCCGAATGGAGCCGAATCGTCGATCCGCGGGCCACCCGAATCCTCCCCAGAGCAAACCACACTGCCGCGAACTCCCGCACCGTACTGTGAGCTCGACGGAAGGACGGATCCCAACGCCCCTGGCCGGCCTGGTGAGCACTGGTCACAAAACCCCAGCCGAGAGACGACGCATCCGTGTACACATCGAGCGAGGGCTCGGGTAGGCGCCAAGGCACTGAACCCCGAAAAACCCGAAGAGGAAGCCGGTGACGCAGCAACCGACGCAAGTCCCCCGGGGGTCGAACTCTGCGATCGCGAGAGAGGCGGAAGGGGGAACCCCGAAGGAACCAGAACAGCCGTCGAAGCCAAACCCGACCCGGCGGGTAGACCACCATCGCGAAGTTCAGGCTCCCGCACAGCCCCTCGAGCAACCGCCGGGTGACCCGAGGGCCCTCCAGAAACAGACGAAGGCGGGACCGCAGCCGCAGGAGAGACTCCGGAGGGAGAGACAAGGAGGCGGTCCGAGAGTCCCACACGAGACCCAGCCAAGTCCGAACCTGAGAGGGAACCAGATGGGACTTCCTCCAGTTCACCAAGAACCCGAACCCGGCGAGCTGGGAAAGAACCAAATCCCTGGCTAGCAAGCAAGCTGACTGGCTGGGAG